CTCAATGACTTCTGATGCATCCTCATGGCCTAGCACTCAGCTTCCAAGGAACACCAAGAATCATGCAGCTGCAAAGAATAGTAATGTCAAACAAGTCAATCATCAGACAGAGAATCGAGTTTGCGAAACATTCAGCGACAAAGGAGAGGAATCTGAACTCAAGGCTAAAACAAGAACCACTGCAGATAGTCGTGTTCAGAGTAAAGGCAAGGTGAAAAACAGAACCAAATAAGACTCAATATTGGTTTAGATTTCTATGGTTTTCTTATGTTTTCTCTGGCTCAAGGAAAAATTTTCATGCAGTTGATACAAAATTTCAGACCATGTAGTTGTTCACCTTCATTCAGATTTATGTTTTCATTGCATTGCTTACTTTAACTGGATTATGTTATTGCTTAATACCAATTCCGTTCATGTAACGTATCTGCGTGGTTTTACCGTTGGAGCTATGCTAATAATATGTACCATTTCATCATAGAATCCGTTCTAACACAAAAGGGAACATATATTCTAATATGCATATAATCTGTAGCCATTGAAGAGCAGACATGTTTACGAATTACTCGTCATTCAAAACGAATTCAGATCGAAACGATTGAGTTTCGGATAAAACAAAGAGGTTGATGACAAAATAGGAGTTTCTAAGGTTACCAAATTGTTACATAGGTGTGGCCCCAAAGTAGCTAACACACCATAGCTTTGCTTGTTAACAGTGAGTCCTGCTGCTTTCAATATACCTTCACATGATTCATTTTATTCAAAAGAACAAATTTTCAATCATTCAAGATCTGTCATTATCAACTTTCATAACCAAAATTCATAAAATACTATTTGAGTTAGAGAAGATCTTAGAAAGAACCTGTTTGTGATATTCTTCAACAAAGTAAGAATCATGTAGCTTCTCTCTGTTCACAACAGTAAACAGAAATGTATCTATCAGAGAAATATCCACTAACAAAGGACGGGTTCCGGAAAGTCAAAGCTGGTAATTAGTATTAATCATACAGTTTAGTGTTAGAAAATGACTGAAAAGTTTGAGATTATTGGGGCACAATGAAAGTAGGAACAGAAAACAACAAAGAGTTTTAGCTGGCAGCTTGCGAGGAGAGGACCGCCCTCATGTAGATGTGATTCTCAAGTCGCTTTCGACATTGTAATCTCAAATCCACCATGCACGTGCAGAAGCAATAAACAGGTAGATGATAACGAAATAAGGGTCGTCCAATCTAATTATATGACCCACAAAATGTGAGAGAATGTGACTCAGTAAATGCATAACACAAACTGGACCTGGTCTACCAATTTCAAGTCCAGGAAGATCGAGGAACCAAACGAGCAAAGGCGAAGAACCAAGTATTCCAGTCAAACAATTAGCCTGCACATGTTCCAATTGATAATTGAAAATGACATATAAGGGAAAGATTTAACAAGAGAAACAATACCATATGCAAACAACACTAACCTTGATATTTTATCAAAAATATTGCGTCTTTGAGAAACTGGTACAATCAATAATGAAACTAGAATTCCATAATCAGAATAGAAGAGCTATGATAATCAGTAAGATCGACTGACAATATTACATTGGATTCAAGAACAAGTTTCAAGACAGAGTATTACTGATTGCCTGTCAAAGTTCAACTTCTTAAAATTAAATGAAGAACCTGTGGATACAATTCTGAAAACTTAAGTTCAAGCTAGTCTTTTGAATCATTAAACCATCCGGAAGCCTATAGAGGAAAGTATTAAAACCCCTTTTGTTTTTCCTCATTATTCAACCTACAGGCTCTCTCTTGAAGAAGAAAAATGGAATTAAATCGATATATGCTTGTTCGAACTCTAGAGTTGAAACTCCGGTTCCAGTTTGCGATCCAGAGCTCAAGCTAGCCGAACCCGAAACCTGAAAATAGATTGTCTCAAGCACTATTGAAGGCAACTGAGTAAGCCAAACTAACAATCCTAAATTTCCTCCATAAAAACGCTACCACGACACCCTTACTTCCAAAACAAATTCTCATTCCATTGCCCCGAATTTCTGCTCTTTTACTGCCTAATGACAAAAGCATGACACCAAATGGAGAACTATATAAAAAGGCCAGTGATCCTCCTCAGTCTACAACTATTAACACCAGAAGCAAAAATGACAGAACTCAAATGGATATGCATTTCCTTCTCACTAACACTTTTACTCGGCTTAGCAGTTGAATCCCTTAAGATAGACCAGAAATGGTCAGTTGGAAATCACTTTGGTTACGAGGGCGGGTTCTGTCTTCCCGGTCTCTGCATTAGAGGAGCTGGTGGTGGCAGAGTCAATTATGGCACGGACAATTACAGTGGCGGCCGCGGGAAATATCGAGGTGGCAGCATGGACAGAAGCCGTTTCAGAGAGACCATGTACTGCAAACCTCTGACTTGCTGGGGTGGCTCATGTGAGGCACTCCATCTGCATTTAGACAAGGGGCTATATGAATCTCTCGTAAGCAAGAACGCGGCGAAACAGGCATCAACTGTTGATTTTAGCATCCCAGAGACCATGAAATACAATGTCAACACAAACTATGAAGATTTCAAGGAAATGAAAGAAGAAACTGCAATGGCACCACAATCTAACTAGTCTTTATTATAGAGTTTGTATTAATAAATAGCTTATGAAGAGAGAATAAAAACATAAATCTAATAAGTCTCAGTATACTGAGATGTGTTATTCACAAAGATTATACTTAAAACTAGTGATATAAGCTTAATAATTATTTCTTCTATAATTGAATTAAACAGAAGATCGAGTCTTCTCCGTTTATTCAGTCACACTTACCTTAATCTATGAGAAAAAAATTGACAAATTAGCAAGACAAAATAGTGAAAACCATATGAAATTTAATTTCGTTAATCATATGTTACACAGTTCGAGTGATGTTATATAACTTTAATTTTTCTTTTTTAATTCTCGATTACAATTACCATACTGCATTTCTCGTACAAGTAGAAGAGGTAGAAAAGTCTTTGTTTCTTGTCTCCCCCACCATGTTCGACTCTGGTTTGCTGAAAAAATGCAGAGATAATCAAATGTTACTGCTTTGAGAAATCAAAATTTAATTACTTGGAATTATATTTTACACTAAAAATAAAATGTCTTACGAATTGTTTATCTCCGGCGAGAAGTTAAAGACGGTGGGATCGGAAGGAGAGGCTTTGAGATGGTGGAAGAAAGCGACGGAGCAGAGGACGGAGGCGATGAGAGCAAAGCATCCAAATCCGATCATCAGAGAGAAACCGGCGACGATCAGATCCATCGCCGTCTGAATACTCATGATTCCTCCTATCATCTTCAGATTTCGAGTTGGGATGGTTTAGTTAAGATTTAGCAAGTGGATTGGATTTTGGAAGAAGAAGAAGAGAGGGTGAAACAGAATGCATTGCAATTGCCTTGGGAACGGTGAAACTCGCATTGCTACGTTACGTGATAAACTCGATTTTACGACACCTGAACAATAAATATTCTTTTAAATATTCTTCGCGTAAAACAAAGTTGAAGAAAAATTACTCGGGTTTCTCTCAACTTTTTCCATTCCGCTCCGATCCCCTCCTATACTTTTAACTTTTCTATATTTTTTCTTTAAAAAGTATATCTCTTCATATTTCCCTCAAAACTATTTAAACTCTTCAAATTTATATTGCGTCTTACCTAATCACATTTACAATAACCCAATTTTAGTTAAATCTTGAATTAGAACCTTATTTAAAACCCTCCTTTTCATTGAAAGGGTTCCAATACGGGTTATATCAAACGCGGTTATGAACCAAGTTAATCTAAACATCAATTCTCTTAAACACAATTTCCGGTTAATTAAACAAAATCAATGGTTTAACTTGATTTGGAAAATTTGAAGAGTTTAAATAGTTTAGAGAAAAATACGAAGAGATGTACTTTCTAAAGGGAAAACATAGAGAGGTCAAAAGTCTGTAGAAATTGGAGCGGAATGGAAAATGTTGAGCGAACCTAGTGCAGTCAACCCAAATTACTCCAAAACTCTTTCTTATAGTTGTGGGTCCACAGAATTATTGTGGATCCATAGTAGAAATGGGATGATTTTTTTTTCCTTCACTTACGTACCAATCACACCATCGAAAGAACTTCGGATCCTTACTCTTATAAGATACCATCCACATTGCACACAAAATGTGGATGTCTCTAAATAAAAAAATATTAAAAAACATACTCTTTCTTCCTTTTACTCAAC